ATTTTACACGGATTCACACACACTAATAATTGCAAAAAAACAAAATAGTCTTAAATGCAATATCTCATCTTAAAAATCATAAAGAATATACGAACATGATTGTTAGTGGAATAGTAGTTAATTCTAGGTATGAGTTGACCATTCAAAATTGTCCCATGATTTTTATTTAAAGTCCTTTAATGAAATTGTTTTTTAAGCTTCAAATGTTGATTATATTTTAAAAAATCTCATAATATGAACTTGTATAGAGATCTAAACAAGAACACTAGACTTTATAATCAAGAAGGGATAGTGATTAGTGACTGTACAATTGGAGGGCAGATACCACTAACTGGTAAATTAAAGTATAATTTATAAATTAGCAAAGTAAATAATAAATAATTAAGTAGTAAAAAACTATTCTTTACTTGTTGGTTTGGTATCTCTTTAATGTTCAATTAATTAATTAACCCTCTTGTTTATTGGAATGTTCTTCCCTTTTCCCAAGGTAAATAATTCAATTAACCTTTTCTTCTTTCGGCTCTAAAGCCAAGATTGTTTCTTTGTTGTACTCCATCCTCCCATTTTACTTATATGTTTTTTATTTTAATGCATAATTTTTTTTATACCAATTTTACCCTTCTATAAGTAAGTATGGAGAGAGATGTTACCATAAGCTTAAGAACTTGTAGTTGTTTAATTATAATAGTAGGCCCAATATTACTAAAAGTTTCAAGCCCATGAATTTTGGTTAAAATATGTCCTAGTTTATATGTGAAAGCCCAACTAATGGACTTGAATTCTTAGCTACTTATAGTCAATAAACTAATTTATTCACAACGCTAAATGCCACATTAAAATTACTAGGTACGATACGACTCGATTTCATCCGTTTCAACCCTTGAGCTGCTTTGATCATATTTCTCAACTCCGTGGACTACAAGTACTTAAATGTACAATTATGAATCCTATTTTCGAGGTTGTGGCTCCTCTTTCGATTTTTCCACAGAGTCTAAAAAGGTTGAGTTTGAGGATATCCGTGGGAAGCTTCGTTGCCGGATTTGAAAGTGCTGAAACTGCAATGCTATGCCTTTCGAGGGGCGAAATGGGAAACTCGTGGCAAGGAATTCCGAGGACTTGAATATCTTTCGATTGAAGACAGTGATTTTGTTGACTGGACAATCGGAGATAACAACTTCGAATCTCTTGAGCACCTAAACACAGCTACAAACTAGAAAAGATTGTTAGAGGACAAATTTTAGGGCGTGTTAGAGAGATCGAAGTAGTTGACTCCAACCCTTTTGTCGTGACTTGTACAAAGCGAATTTCGTGTGTTGACAACGTTAATGCTCACTCTTTGTGGGAAAACGATGGGAAGTAGTTGTTGTTTCATTGTTATCTCTCCTCTTCTTAATCCGATTCCCAACTGATATAGACAAGAAAACATGCAATGTACCATTCATTTCTCGCAGTGGCTGCCAGCTGATACCCGTTGAAGTAAAAATTATGCGTGCTTGAACAATTTCATGCTCAACCAATGAAAATAAACGGCAACAAAGAGGATCGGAAGTGTCAAGGGCACCAAGAAGCAATAATACCTGCAAAAAATATATGACATTATCTCAATAAGCAGTGAGGATCGGAACTATTGCTGGAAAAACTGAAGGCAGCAACTAATGACAAAAATCGAGCGTAGACTGAAGTGTGTCATAATCTACGATATCATATGTGCATATTGATCAAACGAAAAATTGTTAGTAGAATTGCAATTTGTTGTAAAATAAAGAAATATACGACAGTTATCCATTCTACTAAAGTTTTTTTCGATAAAATTTGTATCCCTAATTCACTTTGTATCTGTAGGGTATCAAACTGCCCAGCTCCATAAAGCCACTGAATAATATATAAGTTCTCCTTGAGCAGTATTGATTACTGCCAAGGAGAATATATATATATATATATATATATATATATATATATATATATATATATATATAACAGAAAGAAAAGAATGAAAGGTGATAGATATATAGATTGAGATTTTGAGATTTTCAGCTCAGTCTTCCAATTATCACACCAGAGATTCACACTTTCAATATACACCACCACAAAAGAACGAATTTTCTAATTTTCTATCTCTCTCAACACTCAAACCCTAGATTACCCAGAAATCAAGCACTCAAATTTTACCCAGCACTCAACTTACCCACTCACCAAAAAACCCCAATTTTAGAACTCACAAATAGAAAACTTAGGGATTTAGGTCGGATTTAGGGTTTTATCTGTGTCTTATCTTTTTCCAACCTCCATGCCAATATATATAGGGACTGAAGTCAAATAGAGCCGGTGAAGGCTGTACTGGAGAGTCAAAGTCGGCACTGTACCATGCTCTTTAACCTCCAGCCATTATCAGTCAAGGCAGTACAAGGGAGGAAGAAGACAGAACCAGGAGCGGCGGAGAAGAAGAGAGAAAAGCTAGGGTTTCAGAATTAGTGAAATTAAGAGAGAGAAAAAAGTATTTAAGTGAGGAAATAGACGGTCCAGAATCAGCCAGAAATCCAACAGATGGATTGGGCTCAGATATGGACTTGGGCTCACTTACTCCTTTTGGGCTTGGCTCAATGGTGGTGTATATAATAAAGGATGGCAATTGGGCTCTATGGCCCAAAACACATTTGGGCCAAAAACCAAACAATTCTCCACCTTGGACCAAATGTGAATCATTAGTGAAAATTTCTCAAAAAAATTTTTGGAAGTCATCATTGCTGGTTTTTGACACACCAGTAGGAGCACACAGTTCATACAAGTGTATCAAGTTTGTTCACTCAGAATACAACTTATGTGCATTTAGAATAAATGCAGTAATGCAATCACATAGAAAGCATAATCTTATTCACACAGAAATAGATTTAACAAGCAATCACAAAGAAAGCATAAATATCAAGTCACACATACTACAAACTAGCACACAACAAGTTAAGGTTTTGAAAGAATGTTCAAGTTTTTCAAACAAGAGCAGAATTTTTCAGAAGGCAGACATTTTGTTCCCATGTCAGCTAGATTGAACTCAGATGGAATTTTCTCAAGGTCAATAACCCCTTTTTAAACTACATCACGAATGAAATGGAACTTCACATAAATGTGTTTAGTTCTGTCATGAAAAACAGGGTTTTTGCACAGTTGAATGCCAGATTGACTATCAGATAATACAACCACTTTAGAATTAAGAATATCAACTTCCAACAACAGCCCCTTAAGCCAGATGGCTTCTTTTATAGCTTCAGTAGCAGCTATATATTCAGATTCAGTAGTAGAGAGAGCAACAATGTTTTGGAGTTGATATTTCCAACTAACACAAGCACCATTTAAGGTGAACACATAAGAGGTAGAAGATTTTCTATTGTCCCTATCATTGGCAAAATTTGAGTCAACATAGCCACATAGTTCAATTTCAGTTTTGCCTTTAGAAAACATCAGACCAGTATTAACACCTTTCAAATATCTAAGCAGCCAATTTAATGCCTCCCAATGGGGCAAACCTGGATTAGACATATATCTACTCAAGCAACTCACAGAATATGCAATGTCAGGTCTAGTACTAACCATCAAATACATAACAGACCCAATGGCATTGGCATATGGCACTTTTTTCATTTCAGAGATTTCAGGTTCAGTCTTGGGAGACTGATCCTTACTTAACAAAAAATGAGAAGCAAGAGGAACAGATACATGTGTGGCAGACAACATAGAAAATTTATCAAGAATTTTTTCAATATATAGGAGGATTGATTCAGGAATAAAGTACAGCCAGGTCTATCTCTGATTATGTCCATGCCAAGAATTCTTTTTGCATCACCAAGAAGTTTCATATCAAACTCATCACTAATGCATTTAATCACATGATTAACAGTTTGGAATGCAAGGACTAGCAAGATTCTTTAAAATATAAGCA